CTTCAGCTCTTACCACCATGTTCGGGGATGATTTCTGCCGCGGCAGGCACCGGAGACCTTACGGCCACAGCTCCGAACGGGCGCATCGACAATGGAGGCGGATAATATGGTCCACTCGGACTCAATGTCTCCAGCCTCCCCCGGGATCTGACCAAAGCTCTGCCGGAGGTGGGAGTTGCAGATCTCTCCGACAGGGGATTTTGCTAAATGTTCCCAACAGACCCTCACAATATGTTTGGGTCTGCCGAGCCTGTCCAGCTTCCTCCCCCGCCATCGGATCCAGCTCACCACCAGGTGGTGATCAGTTGCCAGCTCCACCCGAGTGTCCAAGACATATGGCCAGAGGTCAGATGAAACAACCACAAAGTCAATCATCAACCTCCGGCCTAGGCTGTCCTGGTGCCATGTGCACCGATGGACACCCTTGTGCTTGAACATGGTGTTTGTTATGGACAAACTGTGACTAGCACATTAGTCCAATAACAGAACACCACTTGGGTTCAGATCGGGGGGGCCGTTCCTCCCAATCACGTCCCTCCAGCTGTCGCTGCCCCCAGTAAACTCCAACACATAGTGGCTAAGCTGGGGGGCTTTGAGCAAGCCCACACTAGCCCGCCGCTTCTCACCACGGGCAACTCCAGAGTAGTAGAGAGTCCAGCCTCTCTCAGGGAGTAAGGTTCCAGAGCCCAAGCTGTGCGTGGAGGTGAGCCCAACTATATCTAGCCGGTACCTCTCAACCTCCTGCACAAGCTCGGGCTCCTTCCCCACCAGCGAGGTGACATTTCATGTCCCCAGGGCTAGTGTCCGTGTCCAGAGATCGGGTCATCGAGGCCCCTGTCTTCAACTGCTGCCCGATCCACTGCGCACCAGCCCCTTTTGGATCGTCCTGCAGGTGGTGGGCCCATGGGAGGACGTCCCCACGTCACCCGTTCGGGCCAAGCCCGGCCACTAAGTGCTCGCATTCGAGCCCCGACCCCCTGGCTGCGCCATGCTAGGCGACATCACTGTCCTTGA